TAGTTGTAAGAGACGTTTCCGGTGCTTGTTCTGGCCGAGTGGTGTGTAAGTTGGAAGAGTTCGATGGAACAGCAGGTCGAGCCGAATGATGACGCGGGTGCCCGCCTTTCCTACTTCTTGCGCTCATGTCGACCTCATGCTCCCCCTCCTTATTCGATGATGGTCCCCACCAAACGTCGAAACGTACGCGATTCAAGAACATAGGTAGTACACATGTTGCCCGCCTATTCGCAAGGTCAGCGCCGGACAGCATCGCCAGAATTGACACAGGAAGTTGGTTTTGAACGGGTTTCACTGGGAACAGGTACGTCCGACCTCCGTGAGACCATCGTCGCTCTCCCGTTCTCAGTCCATTAGCCTAATCTCCCTATTCTTTTCACTGCTGGACCCAGTCAGATCGTTTAGATGGCAGCGAAGCGCTTCTTTTGCCTCGTTATTGGACGGTGCTCCGCACATCACCGCATCATTGACACGGAACATCGCCGACGTAGCGGCGCGCCTCTGCCCGAAGACGTTCTAGACCGCCATCACCAACGCATTTCTGGAGAAGACCTGGAACCATACGGCGTGCGGACGTAGCCAAGGTGCGTTCACTCTCTAAGCTCACTCCTTTACGATAATTAACCCATACACGCCTCCGTAGCTTAGGACACTGACGAAGCTCGACTTGCACGTCATTCCCGAGGCGCTCTCATACTCTATCTTACGATAGGCCCTTCAGCATTGCCCCTTTACACATTACACATTCCTTCTTCCTTCTTCATGACCGTGTCGCCTCCGGTGGCCGGATTTATCTCACCATACCCCCTCACTACCAGTCGCGTCGCCTCGATAAGGATGCCAGTCAACTTACCCCAAAGTCCCGCCAAGAACTTCCTCGCGGCCCCAGTGACACATTCCCCCGCTCGAGCGATACCCACGGAGCTATTGCAGGAGATTTTTGGGCATTGCAGAGTAGGCTGGGAGGACAGGCTCGATAGAAGACGGGGCAGTCTCCGACTCCATGCGGAGCCTTGGAATATCAGCCAGGTGTCGAGGAGGTGGAGGAATGTAGTGTTGGGGACTCCCGAGCTTTGGTCCTCTGTTCGAGTGTGCTACTCAGATTTCGAGGAGCAACCACACGACGCGGTGCTTTACCGTTTAGAACTTCAACTCCAACGCTCCAAATCGCAGACTCTCAGCGTTTCGGTCGTCACAAGCAAGCACTGCGAGCTGCCAGAAACCGTCCATTTCAGGATCCGCTCCCAGCTCGTGGCGTATGCTTCTCAATGGGCAGAGCTGTATCTTCTCGACGAAACCCACACCCTCCATCCCCTCTTCCACCCCCTTTTACCCGAGGTGTATCGAATGTCTGCGCTCAATCACGTCGACTTGCAGACCGCCGCGGAGGAGTCGATCAAAGCATTCGCATTCGAGGACGTCACCAACCTCCGCCACGTTGATGTTCAGTTCGTTAACCATTGCCAGTTCAACGGCACTTTCAGAATCTCAATTCCATGGGGCCGGGTCGCCACTTGTGCCCTTCGGGCCGTGCCAGCGTTTGGTGCATCGCAGCTGCTGGGGCAGCTACAGAACGTCGAGCAATTGTTCCTGTCAACGGCGGACCTTGCTCTTCTACCAATGCCCTCAGGGCCACAACGCTTCCAGCTCCTCCACTTACATACTCTTACCCTCGATCTCCACTGTCGCACTGCCAATTGGTTCATCTTACGACTTCGTGCCCCTTCATTACGGGTCTTCAAGGCCCCAGCATCTACCGCACTCTTACCCTCTATCTCCACCTTCCTCGCGTTCTCTTCCTGCGCTCTCACTAGCATCCACATCACCGACATTCGCGCCGATCACGATCTGACTCGCTTCGCTCCCATACTTCGTTTATGTCGTTCGTCACTGCTTAAATTGCACCTCACCATGCTCTCCCAAGATGTTGATGTGCGGAACCTTGCTCAGGTTATCCCGCAGGATGACTTCCTGATGGAAGGTCAACAACATGTCGTCAGGCGGCGGGTCAGCTGGCTGGTGATCAGCGCAAATGTGAGATACGGGAGTCGGGTAAAGGGGGAGATGTGGGCGGATATGGTCGAGGGCTTCTCGCGTATCATCGGAAGTCGCGGCCAGGATTTGCTAAGGATGAACCTCAGCATCGAGGGCTTTGATGGGTGGTCGGAGGACGTGCTGCAGCGGATGAGGACTTCCATCGGCTCGGAACGCCTGGAGTTGCGTGTCGCTGGACGCATGGCGGAGGATATGGCCAATCCAATGGTGATGGCGAGGCAGTTGATTCCCTAGCTCAGTATTCCAACATTCGTCTGTTTCAGCACGGTGTTAGAACATGCTCTTAGACTGCAATGTAGTACTGTAGGTTTGTAGTACTGCTTCTAATCATATACCCATTGCTTGTCTACACCCAGCCAGAAGAACGAACACCAACGGACTTGAGTGTCCGATGTTTTATGGCCGGCTTCAACCTGTTGAGCCTTTCATCTTGTCGCATCCAAGTCGCGTCACGCGGCTGCTCCTGCCGTGCCTGACACTCTCCCAGTCTTATAGCTTTCACCAATCATGTCGTTTTCACTGCCAGCTCTCACTGCAGAACAGAACAACCACCGCCAAGGTCCTGTCAAGCAGTGCCAAGCTGCACAAGGCGGCACGCATCCTAAACTCAATCTACGTGTTTCCCCTTGGGTTCGGCGAGAAATATCAGAGCATACACAGCAATTTGTATCGCGCCTCGCATCATCTTTGCATCCAGTCCTCGGTAAGTATGGTCGCCTTCTCTGACAGACCGAAACAAGGCCAAGAGGTGCTTCTCAGGCTCTCGATACTTATGATGGATGTTCCGGGCGATCCTTAGTCCGGCCTCTAGGACTGGTTGCTGATCATCTATGTGCGTACAACATTCGATACGTTTGACGTCCCACCTTCTGGGTAGGAGCAGTTTTGCGTTGCTGGTAAGCATGGATCCTCTCTATCTGTCACGAGCTTGTTCTCGTGTTCCAGGAAATGCTTCTTCTCGCGTAAGAGGCGATGTGCACCCCCCGCACGTCTTGTCGAGAAGTCCAGAACACTGCCGGTGTCTACCCTCGGGCGAAGCATCTCATCCTCCCGGAATGGCATGTCATTGTACCAATTGAGCTTCTATCAAGGAATAAGGTGCAGGAACTCAGGGACGTTTCTTTAGGTTGCGGTGCGTCATCGGTAGAGCGATCCTTGGTTGAAGTCGCTCGCATGGTCCCTCTTCCTCTCCACCAACCCGAGAAACTTATAAAACCTGGCTGACCAGCAACCAAGAAAAGTAGACTGCCCTCTCCTTCCGATCAATCCTCATCCTTCCTCGTCAACTCTCTCCCCTATAAGCTCAACATGCTCCGCTGCTCTGCCGCCCTTCTCACCTTCGCCGCCACGGCCCTCGCTCTCTCCAGCGGAGACTTGACCGTGAAGTTGAGCGCAGTCTCCCCCGTCGTCGCCTCCATCGACGACATCATTCTTACCGCCGTCGTGTCCAACCCCACCTCGGAGGACATCAAGTTCGTCAAGTTCGGCAGCGTCCTTGATGAGCTCCCAACCAAGTCCTTCAACGTGAGGAAGGGCGACGAGGCAGTCACTTTTAGCGGTGTTGAGGTGCGTTACTGAGGCAACCCCACGAGCCGTTAACCGTTTCTGACATTTCTCGCTTTCAGATCATCCCAGCCCTCGATATCGACGCTGCGTTTATCACCATCCCCGCTGGTGGCTCCATCGCCGTGAACCACACCGTCGCCGCCTCGTACGCCTTCGAGGCTGCCGGCACCGGTGTCTTCACCTTCGAGACCTCCGTCAACCTCCAGGTCGCCGATGGCCCCGACTCCGAGCTCGCCCACTTCGTCCTGGAGAGCACGTCTGTCGATGTTGAGGTCACCGACGACGTTGCCAAGCGCAGCGTCTTCCCTGACGATGACGAGTCGGAGGTCGGTCTCAGGACCTCCACCCCGGTCTGCGACAACGCCACGAGGCGCAACTTCCTCGCTGCCGCTCTCAAAGAGGCCCGTGCCGTCGCCGGCGGTGCTGCTACCAACATCAAGCAGTCGCCTAACTCGGCCAGGTTCAAGACCTACTTCAACGACGCGAGCCGTAACGACATCTGGTACAACTTTGACCGTGTTGCGGGAGACTTGGCTTCGTCTGGGAACCGAGGGTAAGTCGTCTCGAGATATTTGTAGGCTTGTGAGACGATTCTGATCGTGTTGTAATTATAGCTTGCACTGCAAGGACCGTGCTGGTGGACTCTGCGCTGGTGGAGGTGTTGGGGCTTATGTCCGTCTCGTTACCAGCGGTAACAACATCATCAGCAGCGAGGTGAGTTCTGCACAACGGTGTTCGCGTTACCCGATTCACTCTGATACTCGGATCTACAGGCGTACTTCTGCGACTGGTTCTTTGGTACTAAAGACCTGAAGGCTATCTGCAACGGTACCAACTTCCCTCAAACCCGTGTCAACGTTATGCTTCACGAGGTACATCTATATCCTTCGTCCTGCATCACGAATTTCACTCATGTTTACCTTCCCTCGTCAGCTCACCCACGCTGTCTTCCGTTCGACTGACACCGTCTACGGCTGCCCCGGATCGCGTGGTCTCTCTTCTGCCAACAAGAAGAAGAACGCGGACAACTACACCTGCTTCGCTCTCCACAACTACTTGGCAAACACATGCTGAGCGGTGACTTCTGAATTACACACATAGTGTCGCGATTACTGTTATTTATGACTGGCTTATCATGGAATATATCTTGGGGTTTTCGAGTAAACTACATAGACGCTTGCACTGTCTGAGTTTGACTACCTACTCAGTCCTCTCCTTCGACTCAGAACGTCTCAGCCGCGCGTTTGCTGCTGATCTTATACATCGGCTACACTGGTCGTGCAGGAGTAGTGCTACTATAAAGTGGTAACTTCTACATGTGCGTGGTGTGTCTTTGAGCATAAAAACGATATATTTTATAGATTGGTATGGTGATACATGCCGGAATAGCTCAGCTGGGAGAGCAGCAGACTGAAGCGCAACGCGTTTTCTGAAGGTCCTGTGTTCAATCCACAGTTCTGGCATTGATTTCGAGATCATTTTATTTTTGATATCCACAGTTCTGGCATTGATTTCGAGATCATTTTATTTTCGATAGCTATGATAGATCGCCACGCTAACACAGTAATACTGAACAGGCTACTGCGGCTAGCTTAGGTTACGTCGTTATGACCTTACGAATCACGACACTTATCTTGAGTTATCTTTTGCGTGTCGTCGTTTTGCGTGGATGAGCGCCGACTCCCGAGCCAACAGTCAGAGTCCCAGTGTTGCAACGGACCAGGTCATGACCCGGTCGGGCCAGTCTGACTGTCACACTGGCCCCAGGGTTACGCAGGTGGATACGAACTTGATACGGAAACATTCGAATTCACAGGTGACAAAACTGCTATACAGAGCTAGCCCATTGACAAGTGCTCAAGCATGCGCAGCTTCAGGTTGGTATCTTTGCTCTTTGCAGTCCGTTTACGCGGGCTTCTTTCGACTAACGGACGTCAAAGGACAGCAGCGGTGCTTTTACGCATTCTACCACCGCGTCTATGTCCATGAATAGATATCCTCCGCTATCCACAGCGCGTTCAGCTGCATGCTCCAACGTCTGCGGTACTTGCAAGCCTTCCAAATGAGAGCATGCATTTTACCCATGCACAGTACATAATACTGCACGCAGGAGTGTTGTCTACCGAGTGCCGTCCGGGTCATGACCCGCGGCCATTCCGACGGAATTGACCGACGTTCCTACCGATCGCAAGCACGTGGTCTTTCCAATATCTTCCCCACCTACAGCTTATTACCCCGCGTCATAGAGGAGGCCCCCTGTATGGGTGGTACAGTGGGAATGAATGGAAATTCGAGATAAAGTGGAGGTTGAGAGAACGACCGGCCTCCTTGCAAAACCACCAAGAAACACCAGTTATTTTGTGTTGCAGTTGCATCGTCGTTTTACTAAAGATAAGGAGTGTTCTTCGTTTTACTTGAAGAGCTGAAAGAGTGTGTATTTATTGGTGCGATTAGGAAACCGACCTCGATGCTAAGAGTCTGGGTGCAAATGCATATGATGAATGTCAGTTTTTCAGGCTCAAGTCTCTTGATCTTTTGCCAACAACAGTGCTCAAGGAGTTTCATCTTTTCCTAACGATTCCAAGCCTCCTCACTCATTATTTTCACCCCAGAAGATGCGCAGTCGGGGCGACTACGCTCCGACGTCGAAGGCGAGAATCACCTTTATAGCATCGCTCATTGCTCCAAAGCATCTCCCTCGACACATATCTTGCTACACATAACCATTTAGAGTACTCAGTTGGAAGAAGAGTTCGAATATACACAAGATATATATTTGAGTTGCGTTGCATGAGAGATCTGGATGTTTTCGCGGACCGCGAGGAACGGACTGAACTGCCGTCCATCGGACCGGCGGCTGTATCCGTCTGAATTAAAATTTTGAAATGTCTCAGGCACACGGCTTCTCTCTTCCCGCAACACGACCATGCGACCTCCTCCTTACCTTCTCCTCCAGCCTTCTCCTCCTTTTGCAAAACAAATTTATGGAGCTCAAAATTATGATCGTGATACGCGGATGTACATTGGATTTTGATCTCAGTTCTTAAAAGAAGGAGCGTTGATGGAGAAGTCGTCGTGAAAAGTGCCCATCATAATCATGGCACGCTGTACTATGCGTTTATTGGCTGCTCTTGCTGCCGTTGCTCCTGCGTTTGCTGCAAATAACAGGGAGGATCTCACGAAGTATGTGCTGCCGAAGGTCGGGACAGAGGGCGCGATTCCTGGGGTGAGTTCGATACCTCTCTCTCGTCTAGGTTGTTGACTGATGATGTTCCTTTCGACGCGTAGAGTAGTCTTGGTGGAGGTAAGATTGCATCTCCAAGTCGATTTAGCTGTTTTTGACCCTACTTTATCATTGATTCTCTCTAGGAAACATGTTCCCTGTACGTCGCTATCGTCCTTTGAGCCGCCAATCGCCCCTCTAACACGTCGCAAAACTAGGGCGCCGCCGTTCCCTTCGGTACCGTCAAACTAGGCATCGACACCTCAGTCCTAAACCTCGACCAAGGCGGCATCAGCTCCGCCAACTCCGGCTACACCCCGCGTGGCAACCTGACTGGCTTCTCGATGATGCACACGTCCGGTACTGGTGGTCAGCCCAAATACGGCATTGTCTCGCAGATGCCTCTCATCGGCTCGTTGGACGCGCAGGGCATCAGTGTGGCGGATAACAGAACGTATCTCACCAACAGGACTGACGAGGTAAGTGCCATTCCTTTCACTATCTCCCAAACTGTTCCTAACTTGGAGCTCGACAGTCTGCCAGCGTGGGATACTTCCGCACCACCCTCGAAACGACTGGCATCCAAGCCGAGCTCACCGCTGCTCAACACTCCGGCTCTCTATACTACACTTTCCCCTCGTCTCCCGCCGTCAACACCTCGTCCTCGGGCAACTCGTCGCAAGCGCACGTTCTGGTTGATTTGGTACACGCGCTGCCTTCCGGAGGAGGGGGATACATTGCTCAGCGATACGTAAAGGGATCATTGGTTCTTGCTGAGGACGGGAGCGGGTACTCGGGAAGCGCATGGTATAACCTCGGGTGGAATCAAGGCGAGCAATGGCCAATCTGTACGTCTCGTTCCCCCACATCCTCCCTTCCTCTTCCTACCGCTTACCTTCGACCTCTCTAGACTTCTGCGCAAACTTCTCCAAACCCGCCACAACGATGAACACCTGGTTCTACCCCTACATCCAGCTCATCCCCCACGAAGACCCGGTCGTGCTAAGACCGTACTACGATATCGTCGCTGGTGACAACCTTGCTATTGGTGCGCTGTTTAGCTGGGACTATGAGGAGGGCGAGGAGCTGGAGGTGGAGAGTCGTGTTGGGGTCAGCTTCCTTAGTGCGGAGAAGGCGTGAGTTTCCTCTGCTCTGTTCTTCCTTTGGTGGTGAGGCTAAGATGTTTCGTGCGATAGATGCGCGCATGTGAGGAAGGAGGTTCCGTGGAAGCAGAGTTTCAACGAGACTGTGCAAGCTGCTCGGAATGCGTGGAACGAGTACGTTTGATTTCATACATGCCTCGTTGTGCTTTGGAAGGCTGATTAGTACTCGTAGCGAGATCTTGTCGGCGATTATTATCCCAGAGGAGAACGGGCCGAAGAACGAGACGCTGCTCAGTCTCCTTTACACGCATCTATGTGAGTCTCAAGTTCTTCTCGCGCATGTGGATGTACGACTCTGGACTGACGATGGACTCAGACGGAACGGCGCTGATGCCTAGCGATCGCACTGGGGAGAACCCTCTCGGGTGGAAGAGCAAGGAGCCGTATTACGATGATTGGTACACCGTACGTCTCTCTTCATCTTTATGTGCGGCGATTGTGCTGACACGAGTTCGTCATGTAGATGTGGGATATCTTCAGGAGCACCACACCCTTCTTCCACCTCGCGTACACGAGCAGGTTCACTGGGATGTTGAGGAGCGTGATCGATACGTGGAGGTTTGATGGGTTTATGCCTGATGGTCGCAGGTGCGTTCTACCCCCTCTCCCCCTCTCCCCTTCACTGTGCTCGCCCCTGAACTTGCATTAGCGGGAACTATAACGGACGCACCCAAGGTGGCTCGAACGCCGATAACGTTCTCGCCGACGCCTTCGTCAAGGGGCTCGATCGCTTCAAGGGCATCAACTGGAAGGACGCGTATGAGGCGATCGTCACCGATGCTGAGAAGGTCCCTGTGAGGAACATGGACTTTAATGCGTGGGACGGCGGAACCAAGGAAGGCAGGTTCGTACATCTTCTTCTCTCCCTTCGTCGATCTGTCCCATGCTCATCGAGCCCACAGGAATGCGCTCCCGGACTGGCACAAATACGGATACATCACACTCGACTACTCCCGCTCTATCTCGAAGGGTATCGAGTACGCACAGAACGACTTTGCGGCGTATGTTGTTGCGAAGGGGCTGGGGAAGAAGAAGGATGCGAAGAAGTACTTTGGGAGGGCGCAGAATTGGAATAACTGTGTGTTTGCATCTTTCTTTTCGATTTTTATGTGCTGCTGATGGATGTAGTCTGGAACCCGAACGCGACTGTTGACCTCGGCGAGCGTGGACTTGGTGTGCACACTGGGTTCTTTGGCTCGAGGAACCCGAACGGGACGTTCAATGAGGTGAACGTGACGGACTGTGGGGGATGTACCTGGGGTGATGTAAGACGTACATTCTCTTCGACGACTCTCTCTTGCGCTTGCTGATTATTATTCATTTCCTACGCTAGTTGACCTACGAAGGTCTCGTCTGGGAGTACAGCTTCAACGTCCCGCACGACACTGTTGGTGTCATCCAGGCTATGGGCGGTGAAGAGGCGTTTGAGAAGCGGTTGGATGCATCGTGGATTCAGGGGTTCTCGGCTGGTGCGGGTGCGGCAAATACCGCTGGAACGTGAGTGCTGCTGCTAACTTTCTTTCCTTCCGTGCGAAGAGCTGATGTATGCACACGAATCGCAGTGCGTTGTTCAACCCTGGAAACGAGCCGTCGTTCCAGACGCCGTTCTTGTATAACTACATGAACGGGAAACAGTACAAGACTGTTGAGACTACGAGGAACCTGATCAACACCTGTTCGTCGCAATTCACTTCGCACCCTTTCTTCATCGTTAATCCGCGTTGACGACAGACTACAACCTCAAGCCCTCCGGAATCCCCGGCAACCAAGGTTTGTCGCTCGCGCCATTTACGTTCTGAGCCATACTGACCTCGATACTTCCTAGACGCCGGTGCGATGGCGACGTGGTTCCTCTGGAACATGATGGGCCTATACCCCGTCTCTGGCCAGCCCATCTACCTCATCGCCGCGCCCTTCTTTAAGGCTCTTGATCTGAGGATCGGGACGGCGAACCCCTACCAGGACACGACAAAGAGTAAGACGTACGTGAAGATTAGGGCGAAGAATTTGAGCCAGGAGAACTTCTGTACGTTCACCTTTCCTGCTTTCCTCGAATAGTACCGAAACTGATTGTTGT